AAAAAAAAACTACATTTTAAAATTAACATAATATAACTTAAAGTAGATACAACAACAAAATAAGATCAATTATTAAATTGCTAAAAAGTTAAGTTGAAATACCAAATTTAATCTCTAATATTTTAAATTTATATCAAAATTATCCTAAACTTTAAAAATACCAAAACTATCCCTAAACTTTAATATTTAATACCAAAATAGTACTTATCTCAACGTGTTACTTGATATTCATTATTTTGCCACAAAATCAATTTATTTTTCAAAAATTAATAAAATAAAATCAAATAATTATATTTTACTATTACGATATATTTTTCCAATTATATTTATAAAGTTGAATAAATAAATTAGTACTTATAATCAAAGTTTTAAGGTCTAAGTCTTCAAATGTTAAGGACTAAATTGATACTAAACAAAAGTTTAGGGATTATTTCGGTTCCAAAAATTAAAGTTTAAGGACATTTTTAGTACTTTTTAAAGTTTTGGAATAAGTTTGACCTAAATTAGAAAGTTGAGGGACTAACATGGTTATTTAAGCAAAACATTTAGGTTCTTCAACTTTAAAGTTTACATACTTTTCGTCCCTCAACTTTTTTAATATTTTTTTTAATCTTTAACTATCAAAAATACAATGTATTATAGTTAATTAAAAGATACGAAATGCAGAAAACAGTAAGACATGAAAATTTGCCCATATAAAACCTTCAAAACTCACAACAATCATATATATTCACCATGAAATATGATCAAAACAACAAATCTGAAAATGCTAGCTAATATCAAATACTTAATATAAAAATTTTGTTATTAATGGTTGAAATTTCACTAAAAATTTATAAAAACATTATTCATAACTATTCATCAAATTTATCTAAAAGAAAATCTAATAATATTAACTAATATCTAATGAACTAATTAATAATAATATTTAATGGTTTAAATTTCAGAAAAAAGTAAAATATACATAAAATATATAAAAAATAATAATACTACTTAAATTTTACTTACCACTGCTTGATTCACTAGATTGCAAGAAGAAAAATGTGTTAAAGTGCTTCAAATGGAAGAATGGAGGAAAGTGAGCAAGAACAACTCACGGGACAAGAGGAAAATGAAAATGAAAGGAGAAAGACCAAAATGAAGGCAGAAGGGCAGGTCAGCAGGGCATAGGGAAACTTACCGACGAAACCCACGTTGCTGCAATCAAAAGCTGATCATCTCTGCATTGCATCAGGATTCTCGTTGACCGGGCCATTCATCGATGAGCATCAAGTTGGCAATGCACATATTATCGACCTACATCTTATCGGTAAGGAAAATAAAAGCTGCAACACCAGTGGCCAGCAGCCGGATTTGCGGGGAGTTGCTGAATGGAAAATTACCGACAAGGATTATGTCGGCAAATTTCATCAAAAAGCTGCACTCCTTGACGCAGGCAGCTAGCTGGTTGGCGGGGGTGCATTGGGAGTGGAAATTACCGAGAAGATGGACATTGGAAATTGATCCTCAATTACCGACGAGACTGTCGTTCCAAAATTCAATTTACAGGCGTGCTTCTCGTCGGTGATATGCCTTTCTGTCCTTCGCCCACCGGCCGAAGTGGTGGCTGCAATTACCGACAAGTAACACGTATGTATAAGTTTAAATTCCTGACAAGTGTTACGTCTGTATAATAAATAATATATCTTACTGGCATTTCTACTGTTTCTCAAGTTGTAGACTTGATTCTTGTCGGTAAAAGGATACTTCACCGAGAAACCTCTTACCTCGGTGATATTTGGTCGGTGAAGCTACGTTTTCTTGTAGTGTAATAAACTAGTAGTCTCCTTAATCCTCTGTTTCAGTTTGTTAGAAATAATAGTGGCTAATGATATTATTTTTATTTTAACATCCTGATATACATACTTTTTATTTATAATTTTTATTATATTAAATTTAGAGTTTAAAATTAAAAAATTATCTATATAATAAATAAAGTTTATGACTTAAAAATCACTAATAAAAAATATTATTAAAAAGATTCAAATTTTGAAGTTATAAGTATTGACCGTTTCCTAAGGGTACAAGGAAGGGAAATGTTGTTGGGTACATGTGTGATTGACATTTAATTTAAGATTTGTTATTTATAAGTTTTGTACGTGACTTTTTTTATTTTTA